TGTACCTTGCAGATACCCAGTTGTCTCAGCACCATTTATTGAAAAGACTGTCATTTCCCCACTGCTCTACAGTGCCATCTCAGTCAAAACCGAGTTTCTAGGTATGTGTAAATCTATGGGTTTTCAACTCCATTCCAACAGTATCTGTCCACCCCACACCAATACCACTGTCTTTTTAATATAGCTTTATAATTCTTGATAAGAATCTGATAAGACAAGCCCTTCACTACTAGTCTTGTCCTTCTTCAAGGGCATTTTGGCTGTTCTTACTCTCTTCTTTACCTTTTCATATGGATTTCAGAGTGGGTGTGTCAAGTTTCACTCCTCACACCTACTTTCCACACACACAAAACTAAAAGGTTGAGATACAGGCCTGGCATGGTGGCTCACACCTGTAATCCCAGCCCTTTGGGAGGCCGAAGCAAGTGGATCATTTGAGGCCAGGAGTTCAAGACCAGCCTGGCCAACATAGTGAAACCCCATGTCTACTAAAAATAAAAAAATTAGCTGGGCATGGTGGTGCACGCTTTTAATCGCAGCTACTCGGGAGGCTGAGGTAGGAGAACCGCTTGAACGCAGGAAGCAGAAGCGGCAGTGAGCTGAGATTGCGCCTCTGAACTCCAGCTTGGGCAACAAAGCAAGACTCTGTCTCAAAAAACAAAAAACAAAAAACAAAAAACTTGACTGGGCACAGTGCCTCACGCCTGTAATCCCAACACTCTGGGAGGACAAGGCAGGCAGATCATGAAGTCAGGAGATTGAGACCATCTTGGCTAACATGGTGAAACCTCATCTCTATTAAAAAATACTCACGCCTGTAATCCCAGCACTTTGGGAGGCCGAGGCGGGCGGATCACAAGGTCAGGAGATCGAGACCATGGTGAAACCCCGTCTCTACAAAAAATAGAAAAAATTAGCCGGGCGCGGTGGCGGGCGCCTGTAGTCCCAGCTACTCAGGAGGCTGAGGCAGGAGAATGGCATGAACCCGGGAGGCGGAGCTTGCAGTGAGCCGAGATTGCGCCACTGCACTCCAGCCTGGGCGACAAAGCGAGACTCCGTCTCAAAAAAAAAAAAAAAAAAAAAAAAACAACAACAACAACAAAAAAAGTAGCCGGGCGGCTACTCGGGAGGCTGAGGCAGGAGAATGGTGTGAACCCAGGAGGCGGAGCTTGCAGTGAGCCGAGATAGCGCCACTACACTCCAGTCTGGGAGACAGAGCAAAATTCTGTCTCAAAAAATAAAAAATAATAAAATAAATAAAAAAATAAAAAACTTGAGATATTGGTTGGGATGGCATTGATTCCATAGATCCATTTGGGAAGAGCTGGCATCTTCATACTATGGTGACTTTCACATCACAAAGTAAATGGTATATTTCTTCACTTATTTAGGTCTTGTTTTGTGTCTCTCAATTAAGGTTATACTTTCAGAGTTACTACATACCTTTTGTAAGACTTATTTTTATATATTGACTTTTATAACTAGATAAACGTATTAATTGAAAAGATACTTTTGAATTTTCGATGTACACATCCTGTAACCTATGAACAGTTTTGTTTCTTCTTTTCCAATCCTGTATCTCTTCTTTCTTTTTCTTGCTCTACTGAAATAGCTAGGGCCTCCAGTACCAGGCTGACCAGAAATAGGCGTGGCAAGTAGCTTGGTTTTGCATACTATTTCAAAGAAAGGTGGGCTGGGCACAGTGGCTCACGCCTTGTCATTCCAGCACTTTGGGAAGCTGAAGAGGGCAGATGGCTTCAGCTCATAAGTTTGAGACCAGCCTGGGCAACATGGCAAAATCCTGTCTCCACAGAAAATACAAAAGTTATCCAGGCATGGTGGTGCACGCCTGTGGTCCCAACTACTCAGGGGGCTGAGGTGAAAGGATCACTTCGGCCTGGGAGGTCGAGGATGCAGTGAGCCGTGATCGCGCCACTGCACTCCAGCCTGGGCAACAGAGTAAGACCTTGCCTCAAAAAACAAAAAACAAAAAACAAAGTCTGTTAACATTTTGTTAAAATAAGCACAAAACTTCTGGTCATTTCGAGATACCTTATTAACAGAAAAGGAATTTCTTTTCTGACTTGCTAGTATTTTTAATCATGAATAAATATTACGTTTTATTAACAGATTTTTCTGCATCTATTGAAAAGATACATCTTTTTCTCAATTAATAAGACAATGTAATAATTATAATGACAGATTTTCATAAAGTTAAACTAACTTTGCATTCTGGGAAGAAACCCAATTTTGCTTTTGTTCTTTGATGAATTCAGTTTGTTTATACTATTTTATTTAGAACTTTTGCATCTATACTGTTAAACAAGATTGATCTCTAATTTTCCTTTTTTGTACCTTATTTTCCAGTTTTGGGAATCAAGGTTATGCTTATACAATGTGACTCTGGAAGAGTTCTCTCTTCTCTGTTATCTTCAGAAAACTGTAGAAGATTGACATAATTTCTTCATTGAATATTTGGTAGAAGCCATTGAGGAAGCTCTCTGTGGGATTTTCTCTAGAGGAAGTTTTTTTTTTTTTATCACTGCTTCTTTTAATAGTTACAGGAATATTCAAAGTTTCTATCTCTATTTGAGTTAGCTTTGCTCAATTGTACTTTTTAAAGACATTGGTCTATTTTATCTAAATTTTAAAATAATTAACAGAGAGTTGTTCATAAAATTCTCTTAATACCATTTGATGTCTGCAGGACCTATTTTGATTCCTCCTTATTCATGGATTTCTATCTTGTCTCCTTTTTTATAAGTCTTTCTTTTTTTTTCTTAGAAGTAGGGTCTCACTCTGTCACCCAGGTTGGAGGGCAGTGGCATGATCATAGCTTACTCCAGCCTCAAACTCTTGGGCTCAAGCAGTCCTCCCATCTCAGCCTTCCTGGGACAACTGGCACATGCCGCAATGTCTCATTAATTTTTTATTTTATTTTCTTAGAGATGGGGTCTCACTATGTGGCCTAGGCTGGTCTCAAACTCCTGGCCTCAAACGATCCTCTCACCCTAGCCTCCCGAGTAACTGGGATTACCTCACACCTGGATCTATCAGTCTTAATTAGTCTATTTTATTAGCCTTTCGAATAACCAATATTTGGATTTTTGGATCCTCTATTAGTTACTTCCTGCATCATTAATTTATGTTCTTTTCCTTCTTATTTACTTCTTTTTTCTCTAGGTTTATTTTGCTATGTTCTTCAGATGTTTGGCTAATTTTCAGCCTTTCTTCATATAATATATATATTTATTTATTTAAGGTTTTATTAAGTACTCCTTTGCAAAGTGCATTTTATAATTTTAATATGTAGTGTTTTGTTAGCCTTCAGTGAAAAATATTTTCTAAATACCATTGTGATTTATTTTTTTTGACCCAAGGGATATTTAAAAGTATATTTCTTTACTTCTAACCACATAAGATTTTCCAGTTACCTTTTTAAAATTAATTTTGAGCATAATTGAAATATAGTCAGAGGACATTTTTATGATTACAATCCTTTTAAATTGAGACACATGGTCAGGTTTTGAAAATGCTCTGTATGTTCTTGAAAAGCCTTTATAGTAGATACTCTGCAGTTATTAGGTACAGCGTATCGTATGTTTCCATTAGGTCAAGTGTGTTAGTCACGTTCTTCACATCTTCTATAGCCTTACTGATTTTTGTTTGCTTGTTCTATCAACTGAAGAGAGATGTGTATTAAAATCTTCAGTTGTAGGGCAGGCGCAGTGGCTCACGCCTGTAATCCTAGCACTTTGGGAGGCCGAGACAGGCAGACCACAAGGTCAGGAGATCGAGACCATCCTGGCTAACACAGTGAAACCCCGTCTCTACTAAAAATACAAAAAATTAGCCGGGCATGGTGGCGGGCGCCTATAGTTCCAGCTACTCGGGAGGCTGAGGCAGGAGAATGGCGTGAACCTGGGAGGTGGAGCTTGCAGTGAGCCAAGATAATGCCACTGCACTCCAGCCTGGGGGACAGAGCGAGACTCCATCTCAAAAAAAAGAAAAAAAAAATCTTCAGTTGTAATTGTGGATTTGTGTGTTTTTCTTTGAGTTCTGTCACTTTTTGCTGTGTTGACTTTGAGGTCATGTTATTGACGGTAGATTCACATTTAAAGTAGTTATACTTTCCAGATGCATTGGGCCTTTTATCATTATGAAATATTCCTGATTGTTTGAGGGAATGTTTTTTTGCCTTAGAGTTTATCTTAGCTAATACCAATCTTTTTTCTAAATTATATTTTAAAATCTGTTTGCCTGTTTCATTTGCCGTAGCCTCCTGTTCATGACTATGGGGGTAAGTTGCTGGAAGATGTATGTCACTAGCTTGATTCCAGAGTCGGCGGGGGCGGGGGCGGGGCAGGGTGGTCTCCATTCCTCTTAGTTGATTGGTTCCTAATGGGGCCTTGTCAAGCCCCTCTCACCCCAGACACCACCTCCTTGCTTCAGTCTTGGGCAGATGCTACTGCCATCTGTTGCTAAGTACAGCAGAAGTAGGGAGAGAAGCCAACTTTCCTAACTAGCATAAATGAGGTTCTCAAATGACTCCCCTGTCAGCGTCCCAGGTGACTGTGCTGTTACTTCTGTACACTGACCCAAGACTGCCCCTCCGGTACTTCTTCCTCAGCATTATGTCTTGGGTTAGTATTCCTTTTCTGTTATATGTCTCCGCAGAATAAATCTGTGGTCTTTCTATCTTTCAAGAATTCCTCAAAATGACTGATCCACTTATGGTACTTTCCATTCTTTGCCAGTGACACTGTGCTTTTGTTTTCATACTGCTATATATTTGTTCTCTCATTTCATGAGTTTTGAAGGAGAAATGGGTCCAGTATGCCAACAGGATGATATTTGCAGACAATTGCTCATTTTGTTTTATATGTTTACCAAGCTAGCTTACCTCAAATCTCAATAACAAATCACATTGTTTTGGTTTTCCTGATTGACAGTATATATTTTGATATGTTAATATTTCAAGCATCTGCTATATTGCCTACCTTTAAACTCTTCACATCCTCTTCTACACTTTCTTCTAATTGACTTAAATAAAAAGGCCTAAATTTTTCTTCAATGCCTGTAAGAATAAAATGTACTTTAAATTTCTTCATTATTTTCTAACATAAAATAAAAAAATATTAGCCATCTATTATCTTTGATTTACTTACCTCAGTCTGTGGGCAAAGCAGTAAAATAAAAATTTAAGCTCCAAATCACTGACTCTGATAGAGACTAATAAGATTAATAGAACAAGGGATGGGCTAACACAGGAAACCAGGGGTTTCTGCTGAAATAGCCTGTGCTCTTTGTGCTTTTTATTTGTGCTGCAGTTTCTCCGGCTGCCACACAAACCGCTCCCCGATGTGAGTTCATCTCCAGCTGGACAGGGATGGGCGAACTCCCTGTTTCTGTCCCTCTGGCATCAAATTTATGAGAGGTCGGGATACTCAGAGCAAGGATTTAGAGTAATGAGTTACAGCTGTTAGCCTTCAAAGAAAAAAGAAACTTCCAGTTCAAGGAAGATGGAGTGGACATACTTTCTTCTTATTCTTTCTTCTAAGCACAACAAAAACATCCTCTATATTATTTATAAAACAAACGTACAGAGTCTCTGAAAGGAGAAGAGAAGAAGGCAGACCAGCGGGAAACCTCGGGATCAGATGAAACACACGATAGCGAGTTCACTGGATTTTCTCTTTTCCTCATATCTCAGACTTGGCTGAAAAGGTGGCAACCTCAAACCATCAACAGCCACAGATAAAAAAATCTCCAACCAAAGCCTGCTCTTTCTAGCCAAAGAACTAAGCAAGGGGCAGACAGAAAACCTTTAGCCAATCTACAGCCGTGCCATCCTGATGTGCCCAAGCTTGCCTGCCCTTGGAAGTTAGGCAGGGTCAGGTCTGGTTAGTACTTGGATAGGAGAAAACTTTTAGTCAACAACCACTCTATTCCAGCCTCCCACCAAACTCCACCCCGACCCACAGCAGCTAAGGCCAAGTGGAGAGCCTCCACATCCAACCACGTGAGACAGTAACAACGTAACTCAACAAACTCAACATCCCCACCCGGGTAATGTCAGAGAAGGCCCAACAGGAAGCCAGGGCTGTCCCACCTGCCAGCTGAGAATGAGCCCCTCCACTCTTATGGTGTCAGGAGAACGCAAGAAGAGCCTGGATTTGCCCCACATGGCAGTAACAAGACCTCCCTTCCCTTCCCCACTGGGGAAGTGTCAGAGGAGGTCTAGTGGAGAATCAGGACTTTTAACATTGTCCAGTCGTAATGAGGTGCCTTCACCTCTGTGTCAGTGGGGACTATGTGGACTCTGCCAGAATTCCCACCCCTGACCAGCAGGGAAGAGGAGTCTCTGACTTTGGGCATCAATAAAGGCTGAGTGGAGAGGCTGAACTTCTACCTCCACCCAGCACTAGTAAGGTGGCCACCACTCTTCCCTTGTCAGAGCAGTCTCAGAAAAGCTCAGCCAAAACAGAGGGCTTAAAGAGGATACAGAATCTCATAACACAGTAAGAAAAGGTACAAGTTTCAACAGAAAAATTACTCATTATATGAAGAACCAGAAAGGTCCCAAACTGAATGAAATAAGACAATCAACAGATGCCAATACTGAGATGACAGCAATGTTAGAATTACCTGTCAAGGATTTTAAAACAGCCATGATAAAAACAATTCAATTAATAGTTATGAACCTGCTTGAAACAAATGAAAATAGAAAGTCTCAGTGAAAAAGGGGAGAATAAAATTTTAGAGCTGAAAACTTCAATGATCAAAATATAATAAAAAGCTCAGTAGGCCTGGCGCAGTGGTTCACGCCTGTAATCCCAGCACTTTGGGAGGCCGAGCCGGGCGGATCATGAGGTCAGGAGATCGAGACCATCCTGGCTAACATGGTGAAACCCGTCTCTACTAAAAATACAAAAAATTAGCCGGGCGGGGTGGCAGGTGCCTGTAGTCCCAGCTACTCGGGAGGCTGAGGCAGGAGAATGGGGTGAACCCAGGAGGCGGAGCTTGCGCCACTGCACTCTCCAACCTGGGCGACAGAGGGAGACTCCATCTCAAAAAAAAAAAAAAAAAAAAAAAAAGCTCAGTAGACGGTTCAACTGTGGAATCGAGGAGAAACAGAAAAATCAGTGAACTGGAAGACAGAATGATAGAAATTATCCAGTCTGAACAAGAGAGAGGAAATTAACTGACTGAAAAAAAAAAAAAAAAAAAAAAAAAAAACAAAGCCTCAGGGACCTGTGGGACTATAACCAAAGATACAGTTTTTATGTTGTCAGAGTTCCAGAAGGAAAAGAGAAAGAGAATGTGGGTTAAAAAGTACTTACAGAAATAATGGCCCAAAGCTTCCCAGATATGGTAAGAGGCATAAACCTACAGATTCAAGAAGCTGAGAAAAACCTAAACAGAATAAACCCAAAGGAATCCACACCAAGACAAATAACAACTAAATCTCTGAAAAATAAAGACAAAGTCTTGAAAGCAGCAAGAGAAAAATAACACCTTACCTATAAGGAAAAAAATTTTGGAATGACAGAGTTCAGACATATCCTAAAAGAATGATTAAGGAAAGTTCTCTAAACAGACAGGAAACAATAAAATAAGACACCTTGGAGAATCAGAAAGGTTTGGTTTTGTTCATGGCAGGTAGCACCTAAAATCCTTGGAGTCTTCTAAGAGTGTCTTTTGGGTGGGGTCAGAAAACTAAGCAGCTTCAGAATGGGGGCTAGCAACCAGAAAGACCAAGCTATAATTAGAAGGTTGGGACTCTGAGCTCCACCTTTGACTTCCAGTGAGGAGAGAGGGACTGGACATTAAGCTCAAGCACCAATGACCATGATTTAATCAATCATGCGTATGTAATGGAACTTCCATAAATCGCCTTAAATGGGAAGGTTTGGAGAGCTTCAGGTTGCTGAACACATAGAAGCACCAGAATGTGGTGTGTCCTGAAAGGCTGTGGAAGCTCTGTACACCCTCCTCCCACACCTCACCTTGTACATCTCTTCCATTTGGCTGTTTCTGAATTGTACCCAATACAGTAAAAGGGGAGATATAAGTAAAATGTTTTCTTGAGTTCTGTGAGTCTTTCTAATGAATTCCCAGACCTAAAGTGGGGCTTGTGGGAATACTCAAATAAATTTGTAGTTGGCTGAGCAGAAGTGTGAGTAGCGTGGGTACCCAATGCTAGTGAGGATGCAAGAACCTGCATCACTCGGACACCGAATATAAAATGGCACAGCCCCTCTGGGAAAATGTTTGGGAATTTTTTAAATAAACTGTACATGAAACTACCATTCAACCTAGCTATTGCACTCCTTGGTATTCCAGAGAAATGAAGACTTATATTCACACAAAAACATGTACATGAATATTTACAGCTGCTTTAGTCCCAACAGTTAAGAACTGGAAACAAGTCTTTCAAGGAGTGAACAGTTAAACTGTGGTACATCCACACCGTAGAATACTGCTCAGCAAACATCCAGGCACCTTTCCCCAGCCCTGTATGACAGGGCCAATCTAAATGGCAAAATACTTTCTAAAGATGCCAGCTAAACAAGGGAGGGGATGGAAATAAAAGAAGTGAAGAAGCAAAGAAGGCTGGTGAAAGCTACCTGAGTACCCATACACGGATGAATGGAGAAATGAAATGCAGTCTATTCATACAATGGAGTATTATTCAGCCTTGAAAAGGAAAGAAATTCTGACATCTGCTACAACACAGATGAACCTCGAGGACATCATGCCAAGTGGAATAAACCAGACACAAAAGGACAAATATTGTATGGTTCCACTTATATACGGTACCCAGTGCGGTTAAATTCATAGAGACAGAAAGTAGGATGGGGGTTGCCAGGGGCAGGGAGAGAGATGATGGGGAGTGAACGTACTATGGGACTGTACTTACTGCCCCTGAACAGTGCACTTGAAAACAGTTACAATGTCAAATTGAATGTTATGTATATTTAAACCCAAGTTAAAAAGTTAGTTACAAAAAAAGGAAACAAAAAGGCCTTATGTGCCTTCATGCTTTTGAGAGAGATGGCTTCTTTGCATTGAACGACATGTTTGAAATCTAGAAAATCAGTTTAAAACCACAAGTAAAGTTGAACTCAGTTTTCTGAGGATTCAAACCAAGTTCCTAACAACATCTTACTAGGAAAATCACCACACAGGATGCATCCTACACAGTCAGAAAAGATGCTCTTACCAGGAAATGTCGGCCGAGCTTCTGGATTCGCTTCCCAGCAGAGCTTCATGAGGCTGATAATTTCTCTTGGGCAGTACTCAATGATGTCGTCCACATCTGGCCTGTTCCCCGATTTTATGCACAGTATCAACTGCTGCTCACAGATAGCATCTGTAAAGCAAAGAGGAGCTGAGGCTGAGACTTTCTTTCAGGTCTTGCTCCTCTCTCAGGCAGGAAGGTGACAGAACTTGAACAATACTGCTCATTTTTTTCAGCCTCTGGTATGCCTGTGGTACAGCTGCCTCATTCTATAGAGTGGAATATGTCAAGACAAAGAGCTGACATATTCCACTACAGAGATGACCAAACAATAGCTTAATGTCTGCAGATAAAACAAAATTCTCAACAAAGCTACCTGCTGATGGAACAGAGATTATGTGGGCAAGGCCAGTGGCACGCACCATGTGCAAAGGCAAATACAGGACAGTCCTTGCCTTTAGGAGCTCAAGTTAATGAGAGTGACTTAAAACACAAGAGTGATCATTGCTATTCAAAAAGGATGGGGCTGGGCACGGTGGCTCACGCCTGTAATCCCAGCACTTTGGGAGGTTGAGACAGGAGGACCACGAGGTCAAGAGATCAAGACCATCCTGGCCAACACGGTGAAACCCAATCTCTACTAAAAATACAAAAATTAGCTGGGCGTGGTAGTGCACACCTGTAGTCCCAGCTACTCGGGAGGCTGAGGCAGGAGAACTGCTTGAACCTGAGAGGTAGAGGTTGCAGTGAGCCGAGACTGCGCCACTGCACTCCAGCCTGGTGACAGAGTGAGACTCCGTCTTAAAAAAAAAAAAAAAGAAGAATGTACAAGGGACTCCACTAGCACAACCCTGACTAACAAGGTCCAGGAAGGCTTTGTTGAGTCCAGAAAAATTAGCAGGTAAAGAATGGGAAAGGGGGACTTAAGGAGAACTCCAGGCAAGAGAAGCAGGATATCAACAGACTAGAAGTCACAGAGATCATGACACATCCCAGAAATTCCTCACTCAGTCTAACTGACAAAGAAGAGAGGGTTAGGGATGAGGCCAGTAGAGAAGCAAAGGCCAGAATATGAAGGCCTTTTATTCCACACTGAGGAATTCGAACTTCATCCTGAAGACCATGGAGCATCTGGGAAAGATTTCCAATATGTGAGGGAAAGGGTCACATGTGCCTTTTAGGACGACCATTTTGGCTGCCACATGAATGGTGGACGGTGGAAGGAGCCTGCCGCGGAAACAATGAGGGTTTGAACTAAGCAGAGGCCAGTGGGGACAAAGAGAGGCAGATGGGTTGCAGATATATCTTGAGTCATATATATATCTTGAATTCATAGGTTTTGAGATCTGATAGAATGTGGGAGACAGAGGCAAGGGCAAGTCTGGGATGACTCTAAGGAACTCACAGTTGAGCAGGCAAGACTGACATTAAAAGAATAAACAATTGTAAACCTTAACTGATTTCACTGAAGCCCATTACTTCATATGGCAGTGTTGGTTCATATCAAACCCCACTCTTCTAATGCCTTACTTTCATATGGCTCCTTATTTGCAAATATCGCCCAAAGTACGACGGCAAAGCTGTACACATCTGACTTCTCCGTGGGCTTTGCGTTGACGTCGTTCAGGTGCTCGGGCGCCATGTAGTAGAGGGTGCCGCCGTTCTTCTTAGAGGTGCTGTCCACTTCCTTCAGCTCATTGTGCTCTTCTTTACTCAGTTTGCTCCACATCTTAAAGGAAGCAAGGCCGAGGTCTGCGATCTGCGAAAGACATCGAGCCACTGGGATTATTTGGTGAAGGCCATAAGCACATCAGATCTGACTTTAAATCTAGGGCTAAGGTATGGTAAATTTTCCTGAAATGGTTTCACTGGGCAGGTTCAAAATGGCGACTTCTCAACAGACTCATAGAAACTCTGTGTCTCCTCAGCCATCTGTAAAATCTCCCCGCTGGAAACGTTACATGAAATTCTGGTATCGCATTCCTTATGCAATAAGGGGGAGGGGAAAAGCAGAAGAGGTTTCTGACAAGAACAGTAACAACCAAACATATTTGTTCTAATTCCCCATTGACTCTGCATATGTTTTTCAACTATTTCTGGGACTTGGGGGAAAAATGGTTATTTTCTTCTCTGCACATTTATGTAGCAGACAGTGGCTAAGTACTACACCTTCTACTTCCCCAAATGGCGTCCAGAGGCCCATGGATGCGAGTGCCCAAGGATCCCAAAGACACGCTGAGGATAAGGACTGCAGTGTTGCTTGTTTTGAGCTGTAGCCTGAACCTGAGAGAAGAAGGGGTGGGAAGGAGGAGAAAAACAGACAAAAAAGCAGAGAGAAAAATACCAAGGTCAGACACAGAACAAGAACAGAGTTGGCAGGGCAAAATGACAGAGCAGTGCAGTTAAGAAGAGAACACAGGTGCCAGTTCCACTTCTGCCTGCAGGAATCCAAGCAAGCATGTGGGGATGAACTGTGGCACATGATTACCTAAAATCCACAGATTCTAACCCACGACATAAGAGGGAAGTCACGAATTTGAAGATAGGTTATGAATGAGGAATTTTTATTCCCAGGCCTTTTTTTAAAGACCTGTCCAAGACTAGGACAAAGCACTAGACGTAGAACCTGCTGGTGGAGAGGGGCCCCTGTGTCAGCAGCTCCTGAGTGCCTCCCCCAGGGCTGCTTCCCCTTTTGGATGCTTGTGCTTGGATTCCTGCTGTGAAAGCCAATTAGATACGACACTCCCCGCTAGCTAAATCCTGCCCTTGAATGAACAAAAGAAAAATCCCTTTCCCTTGTTCCCTTTACGACAATGGAAAGAACGTGTTCAAAGGAAACTGATTTTTTAAAACACAGAAGTAAATAATCAAATAAAAATATAAAACAAAATTTCAAAGTAGAAGTTTTTGATGTACTGCTGATCTCTTCTTTTTTTTTTTCCTTAGAGGCAGAGTTTTGCTCTTGTGGCCCAGGCTAGAGTACAATGGCACAATCTCGGCTCACCACAACCGCGGCCTCCCGGCTTCAGGTGATTCTCCTGCCTCAGCCTCCCAAGTAGCTGGAATTACAGGCATGCGCCACCACGCCTGGCTGATTTTGTATTTTTAGTAGAGATGGGGTTTCTCCATATTGGTCAGGCTGGTCTTGAACTCCCAACCTCAGGTGATCTGCTCACCTCAGCCTCCCAAAGTGCTGGGATTACAGGCGTGAGCTACCGCACCCGGCTGCTGATCTCACTCTTAGGCCATATCTGAACTCTAAAGATTTTCTGCACACACCCTCACATTCCCCTGCATTTCCAGAGGAGGGGAGTCTTGGTGACACATTATGGCACCAATGGCCCATTCCAGGATGGAAAGGGCAACTTTTGAATGTTTCTAACAGAGGAGAAAAACACAATCTAGGAAAGAGGACTTCTCATCTCCCCCACTCCATTCCACTCCTCCCCAAAAGATATGAGTTATCCTGACAGTTATCTCCTGATCCCATCAAGCCTGCGTCTTTCCTTTCAATCGCTGGTAGAGCCTCTCAGCACCACCATCACCACCAGTTATAAGCTGAGCTAGGTCTTCCTTTAGCTTCTCCAGTTTACAAGAATGGATTTACATTGGAGAATTAAAACTAAAATCACCCAACTTTCTGGAAGCCTACAGATGATGGTTTACCTTAATGTGGAAGTCATCATCAACAAGGATATTTTCAGGCTTCAGGTCCTTGTGTATCACGCCTTTTCCATGTAAGTAGCACATCCCTTCAATGATTTCCACAATTATCCTTCCTTTTACAGAAAGCGGGATACTCATCTAAAACAAGTGACATTAAGTCTATGAAATGGAAAGGTAATCAAATAGGCCAAAGCAACTGTTTCATGAAAGCGTGGTGGGATCTGAGCCTGAGGAGAGGGTTACCAGGTTTCCTTCCAGCAGATGCACCACAGCACTGCTGTCACTGGAAAACAAGAAAGATTTCATTCTTGGGGGGCAAAAGGTATTCATGTTGTATTTTGTTAGTGTAAAAACAAAAATCCCAAAATAATTTGGTAATGCATAAAATACTATAAAATTAAGCTCCTTGAGAACAAAAATATATATTATTTAGGACTGTATCTTTAGAACCTAGGATTATACCTGGAATGCTTGCTGAATGAATGGATGAATAAATATACAAGCAAGCATTTTCTATGGGATACTCATACGATGTCATACTAAGTTTACATTAAGGATATGAACAATGCCATGGAAATGTTACATGTAAAATAACATAAAGAGAAAAAAGAATACAAGGGAACATGTTCACACTGATTACAATCATGGAAAAATCTGAGACAAACATGATGTTAAAACGACAAAGCTTAAGTGAATTAATATCTATTTGATGACCTGGTAGCAGATACTTCAGGCTTTTGTAGTCTCAGGTCACTGGTTCCTATAATTGTATTCTTCTTATGTGAACATCAATATTAACAGAAACAATTCCAGTTTCTATTATAGTGGTTAAAATACAGTTTTGCTTAACAACAAAAAATCAGTATACAAACAAGATGTTTCCTAAAACTTTATATGTATTTTGGTTGTTGGTTAACAGGAAAAAAATTTTAATGACAAAAGTGAGATTCCAAGTCTATCCCTCAAACCATATTTATGACATACCGTAGCTGAGCTACACTGTTAATAGCTTGATCACCACCATACAGAAAGTAGCAGAAGAGATGTTTTCCCTTCTTCTTTGGTATACCTTTGGACTTAGGGAAAACTTCTGAGCAAGCAAAGTAAGTTAGTCCCCCTCTCTCTTCTCTTTCTGCTTTTCTCTCAGGTCCTCCTGATGTCCTGACTGAGTCCAAACAGGCACACATGAACTTTCCCTGATCCTGCAGAATGCCTCATGTCCCAAATGATTTCTCTCTCATCTCAGAAGCTAAGCAGGGTTGCGCCTGGTTAGTACTTGGATGGGAGACCAAAGACTTATTTCCCAATCAAAATGTTTACTTCAAACAGCTGATTTTCTCTCGTTCTGGGGTGGAGAGCAATCTGATCAAACTATAATACCACGAGTGTAAGTGATCACCTCTTCTCCTTCCCAAAGGTATTTTTGTGAGATGCCTGTTGGCTTGGCAATTGTGGGGTAGGAGAAGAAAGTGGAAAAGTGGGAGTATTTGCCATAAAGGCAGCCATATCCCGCCACCCCTCCCCATACCTTGTGCAATCTATGCTCTAGCCAAACCCAGGAATTTACAGTTCCCCAAATTTGGCAGTCTCTACATGGTATTCTCTCTGCCTAGAACACTTGTTCCCTAATTCTCTGCTTCAAAACATCTACTTGTCATTCACATTAGAAGCCCTTCTTGTCTATCCCAAGCTGAGTGGGTGCCTCTCGTCTGTACTCCCACAGCAGACGATGAGTATGTCTATCAAAACACCCCAGCCGGGAGTGGTGGCTCATGCCTGTAATCCCAGCACTTTGGGAGGCCAAGGCGGTTGTATCACGAGGTCAGGAGTTCAAGACCAGCCTGACCAACGTGGTGAAACCTTGTCTCTACTAAAAATAAAAAAATTAGCCAGGCATGGTGGTAGGCGCCTATAATCCCAGCTACTCAAGAGGCTGAGGCAGGAAGATTGCTTGAACCAGGGAGGTGGAGGTTGCAGTGAGCCAAGATCGCACCATTGCACTCCAGCCTGGATGACAGAGTGAGACTCCTCTCAAAAAACAAACAAACAAAAAAAACCCACCACATAGCTGGGTGCAGTGGCTCATGCCCATAGTCCCAGCTACTCAGAAGGCTGAGGTGAGGGGATCATTTAAGGCCAGGAGTTCAAGCCTGCAGTACACTGTGACTGTGCCACTGCACTCCAGCCTGAGCAACACAGTGAGATCTCGTTCTCTTAAAAAAAAAAAAAACCACCATCACACCATACCACTCATTTAGTTACCTGCCTCCTTTTACTGCCTGCGTCCTATTAGCTATTGATTTATAAGCTACTAGCGCAAGGCCTTCATCTTAACAGGCACATTAGCTTTTAAAAATGTTGTCAAATAATTTGATTTTGGTAAACAGTTTTTATTTTTGTTTTAAATCCTATCCAGTGTTGTTGCCGCTAATGTTCTATATTTATTTTAAAATAAAACTTTGTTGAATGGTTTCAAAGTGCAACCACTAATACTCTGTCTGCTCTTACGGTCATTTATAGTGTACATCCTTTCATTAATCAATCCATATTTAATTGTCATCCCATCGTGCATACACTCCACATCAGATTATGTCTGCATCGTGAAGACAGGGCCTATCTCTGAACTGTAGATTGCAGAACAGCAGACCGGTATGGGAAACAGCCAATCACATTCCTAAGACACAGACTACGGAGGACTGTCCGTAGGATCGAGAGGATGAAGAGACCACTCTCAGGGCAGCAAAAGGCAAGGAAGAGTTTCTCTTTTTTTTCAGAGACAGGGTCTTGCTCTGTTCACATGCACCTTGTATTTTTTGTAGAGATGGGATTTCACTGTGTTATCCAGGCTGGTCTTGAACACCAAGGTGCAAGTGATCCTCCTGCCAAAAGTGCTGAGATTACAGGAGTGGCCCACTCACTGAGCCGGATCAAGGCAGAGATGTTTTAAGGAGAAAACTGACTTCAGGAAATTGAGCCTGTAATCCCAGCTACTTGAGAGGCTGAGGTGGGAGGATCGCTTGAGACCAGGTGTTTGAGTTCAGCCTGGGCAACATAGCAAGACCTTGTCTCTATAAGAAAAGGAAAAGAAAATTCAAACTACCAAGCAATTTGCAAATTTTATACTAATGAGCTGCAAGCAAACCCCCCAAGGGCAGCCATAACAGACAGCCAGGGCCCAAGCGCTGGGGATCCCCGTGTGGGGGGGCACTCTCTACCTCGGCTTTTAGCACGTGCATCAGGTTGCCCTTCTCCATGTACTCCATCACCAGGGAGTAGTTCCCTTCTTCTATGATGACGCCCAGGAGCTTTACCACCCGGCTGTGTCTCAGTCTGTTCATCATCTTCGCCTCCTCCAGGAGGGCCTCGTTGTGCCTGTGGGCAGGAAAGGTGCTATGCTGAGGTTGGCAGAGCCAGCACCTCAAGAGCCTGGTGTACACCTCCAACACATCACTCCCACGTGCTGGGGTCATGCTTGGGTCTGTACCTATCTCTTCCAGGCACAGGCCAGAAGCATCAGAAGCATTAGAAGGCAGAGCAGTTTCTCACTTCTTCACAGTTCTCCTGCCCAGTAACTGGCAGTGCATGCTCAAAAAATGTAAATCAATGAAGGAATGAATGAATGAATCCATGAATGAAAAGTACATGAACAGCAGCAAGGTAACCTGAAAAAAGACCGTGCTGGACCGTGTGATTGAAAAAACAAAAAACAAACAAACAAACAAAAACAGCCTCTCTCAAAACCACTCTGACAAAGGAGGGATAGAGGTAAAACCACTCTACTGGTTGCTTTCAAGGGAAGGTTCTCAGAACCTCTCAGGAATGAACTGCCTTTTTATTTTCATACTTAGGGCTGGTCCTCACTGAAAATGTGAAGCAAGTGAATAGGTCTGTCTTCACCCATCCTCCTGTTTCCTTTTCATTGTCCCCCTCACCACACTTATCTCGTTGTCTTTCTCTATTTCCTTCTTGTTCATGTCTCTTCTGTTACTTACTAGCTGTGAGCCCTTCACTACCCAGCCTCGGAGTCCGCGTCAGTGACAATAACATAAGAGCCGTCGTCACCCTGACATCTTGGCAGGCTCCCTCTCACTCTACCCCACCAGCGGCTCTACAGCAGCCAACGTCCCCATCCCGCTCAGAGCTTGCCCACCCACCCCTGCTCCCCACTCACTCAATGCAGTTGGGCCCCTTGTACACTGTTTTCATGATCACGAATCCCTGGGTTCTGTGGAAACACAGAGACACCTTCCCGAAGCCTCCGCTGTCCAGTTCTGCCCTCTCCAGGAAGTCACTGGATTTCATCTTAATGACATTCAAAGACACGTCTGGTTGCATTCTGAAGCTCAAGAACACCCAAAATGGTGCCACTTTTCTCTCCCCTGTCAGAGCTGTACCCTGTAAAGAAAACAGAGACAACACCTCAGGGCAACAAGAATATATATATAATTATTATTATTATTATTATTATTATTTTCTCCTTTGGAGACAGGGTCTCACTTTGTCACTCAGGCTGGAGTGCAGTGGCACAATCACAGCTCACTGGAGCCTCGACCTCCTGGGCTCAGGCAATCCTCCTCCCTCAGCCTCCTTGAGTAGCTGGGGCCACAGGTGCACCCCACCATGCCTGGCTGATTTTTCAATTATTTGTAAAGAGTTGGGGGGGGGGCAGAGTGGTCTCACTATGTTGCCCAGGCTGGTCTCGAACTCCGAGGATCAAGGGATCCTCCCACCTCAGCCTCCCAAAGTGCTGAGATTACAGGTATGAGCCATTGCCCTTGGCAGAAAAGATCATTTTTAAAAACTTTTGTAACATTCCACATGCTTGGTGTGCCTTGGATTTTTGAGGATAGACTTACAGTCATCTGATGAGCTAATTTTCATATTTTTAAGAATCACAGAAGACTATAATATTTATTCCGTCAGCCTTTTTATTTCTGGCAATATGGAGCATTAGAAAATTTTAAGAACTCTCCGGCTATAAAGGACATAAGTATGTTGGACAACATAATACAAACATTCATTGAAATGCATACCAGAACTCCATGGAAAGGAAAAGAACTGTAGGGACAGAAATGGCACCAGAGGCAGGCAGTAGCTCACACAGGGCAGTGCCAATCTCGCCATCCAGAATTCGAGGTTTAAAGCCCAGCTGAGGTCAAGGAACGCAAGAAAAGCAGGTAGAATGAAGACTCCCCGCTTAACACGGCACTGCTCAATGTGCTACCCCTTGATGAAAGGATGAACTAGAAAAAAAGCAGCCTGTGGCAAACAAACATATTTGTCTTGGACTGGGCACAAGGTATAAAAAAAAAAAAAAGTCTGTGCAAATTTATAACCTTGGGCCTGTCTTCAAATAGACACAGACTTTGAAATGAGAGGATCCCCTAAACTATGAACAGGAAGTAGTCACAGGCTGATGCCATCCTGAGGTTATTGTCTAAAGCAAACAATACCCTCAAGCCAGGCCAGACAGAATTCCCACAAATACAAATTTAACATAAGCTCCCTTTCCAAAATCATAAAACACAAAAGAAAAACTTCGCTGTGAGACAGACCCTGCAGCTACAGCAAACAGCAGTAGTAAGCACCAAAGAACTTCAGTAAATTAACAACTGAAAGGCATTAGAAAATGAATAGGTTTAAGAAATTATGAACAAAAGGAATCTGAAGAACATAAAAAGAACAATGCAAACTCTAAGAAGAAAATGTGAAAAAGGAGTAGAATTTGGAGAATATCCATCAGGGCTGTGAAGTATACAGTGTCAGATCTCAAAGCACAGCTATTTGCTTCATCCTTCCTCCCTTCTTTTCTTCCATTCATTCATTTTCCCCAAACTGAAATGAAGAATAAAAACCCATGGAGAACCACAATGAGACACCACTACACAACTACCAGGATATCCAAAACTAAAGACTCATAGCACCAAATACTGGCAAACATGAGAAGCAACCAGACCTCTCAAACATCATAATAAAATGGTACAAACACTTTGGGAAAAGGGCTGGCAAAGAGCTTCATGGCAAAACAGAAACTCTATGCAAACCAACAGGACACGGACACACTGGTGTGTGCATGTGAATGTGCATGTCTGTGTTTTGATTTGAGAGTAGAAGGAGGGCTATGAATGTTTTGTATTCCAGAAATACCCACATCCCAGCTGGGCGCGGTGGCTCACGCCTATAATCCCAGCACTTTGGGAGGCTGAGGAGGGCAGATCACGAGGTCAGGAGTTCAAGACCAGCCTGGCCAACATGGTGAAACCCCGTCTCTACTAAAAATACAAAAATTAGCCAGGTGTGGTGGCACGCGCCTCTAATCCCAGCTACTCGGGGGGCTGAGGCAGGAGAATTGCTTAAACTTGGGAGACAGAGCTCGCAGTGAGCTGAGATCGTATGCCACCGCACTCCAGCCTGGGCAACAAAGTGAGACTCTGTCTCAAAAAAATTAAAATAAAATAAAATAATAAATATGTACATCCAAATACAGACCATGAAAAATAACCGTTCGGGGGCATAAAATACTCACAGAAATTTCATAGGCATATATTTTGTTTATAAAACCACGAACACCTGCACTATGACCCAGCAATTCCAATCCCAAGAGAAATGAAAACGTATGTCGGAAAACACTTGTAAAATGTTCATAGCAACTTTATTCATAATGGCTCCAAACTGGAAACAGCTGTCCACCAATAAGAGAATGAGTGAACACACTGTGGTATATGAACACAATGGGATACTACTCAGCAATAAAAATGAACTACTGCTACACATGAATGAAAACAGCATGAACGAAAGGCAAAAACGTGATGAGTGAAACTAGCCTTATACAAAAGAATACATATTATGTAATTCTATTTATATGATGGTTCAGAAGTCAAAACCAATCTGGCCGCCTGTGAGCATGGTGAGGCTGAGCGGGCGGGGCATGAGGGAACTTTCTGGGGCGATGATAATGTCCTAAGATATCAGTGGGGGCTAGGGTTGCAGGCATACGCATCTGCCCATACTCAGCAGATGTACTCCTAATAACTGCAGGTAAATTTTACATCAAAAGACAAACCTGTAAACATGTTGAACTCTAGCTAGTGGTATGCATGCTGAAGTATTTAGAGATATATACTGATGTGTACTTGGAAATACATCAAAAAGTCAGATAGAATGATGGACAGATGACAGGAAGGGAGATGGAGAATTACATGATGAAGCAAGCGGTGTTAAGACGATACTCGTGGTGGACGTAACCTTCGGACTTTGGTGTTTTTCATAATAAAATGTTGGAGGGCAGGGAGTTAAAAAATGAAAAAAATAAATACCTTGGGGAGAGGGGATTCTGGAAACCCCTTGACTGCCCATGGTGTTGTGCAGTGGGCGGTTCCAGGTGACTCAGGTAACCAGCCTTCTACACCTCATCTAAAGGCTGTGGGCCAGCTCTGTCTAGCAGAGGAAGCTCACACAGCAGCATCTATGCGCCTTCTTTCCTAGGACATAAGACATTACCAAACAAGAGGAAGTGCCCTCAGGAAACAAGTACATCGGTGGGACATGGGCAGTGGGTGGAGGTGAGGGGCTGCCTAGATGAAGGCCTGAAGACTGAGGGGTGGGGTTAGGCAGGTGCTTGAGGTAAGAGACCAGGGGCCATAGCTCCAAGAGCACGGGCCTCCACTATGAACGTGAACTCTAGCTCTGTGACTCACCAACCCGTGACCTTGGGGCACTTGTGCCTCAATTTCCTCATCTGCAAAATGAAACAATGACCGCCTCACAGAAGTGGTAAGAATTATGAGAAAAAAATATGTATACATTTATATATGTAGATGTATAGATATACATATATTTGTATATGTATAAATATATGATACATGATATAAAATATACATTTGTGTATATATACATATATTTGTGTATGTGTATATGCATATATATTTGTATACATAGCTATATTTGTATATATGTATATACATACATGTGTATTTGTATATGCGTATATATGTACACATGTATATATTTGTGAAAACACGTTTGTTACCTGCTTTATGTCTCTGGCTATGGCTGGCCCAGCCACCCATGTGTTTATCCACATGGATGGTATTTCCTTGGGCTTTGAGAATGCCAACATTCTCAGCTGGGATCACTCTGTCAGCAGGGCCCTACTGAGCAATCCTAGTGAGAATGAGGTAGGAGGGGGTGGAGACAGAGGGCTTAAAAGATAACATTGATTTTAGGCCTCCTTTTTCATTCACTACAGATCACTGGAGCATGCGGAACTGTGAAGTCTTCCCCATTCCATAAAGGTCATCTGTCCCACACTCTTAGGCCACACTCTTCCAACTTCTTGCCTGGTTAGGTGTCAGGGAACTGTCATTTTGTCAAGGAAGCCATCCTAAGTCTTCCCATTAGACATTTTCACAGGTAAGACAGTACTGTAATTGAGAATTATTTCTCATGAAGTTCACAGAAGGCAGGAAACTTGTCTTGTGCACCGTTTCCAGAGCCTAGCAGAACCCAATGTATGCCGGCCCATCATCAAATGAATAACTATTTTCAAAAGAGAACTATTTAATTGTCCAAAAATAAAAAATATTGTCAAATGAATTACAGCACACTCCTAACAGAATATTGTATAGCCACTCAAAATTGTTTTTGACGAATAAATCTGTAAAAATTATATTCACATTTGTGTGATATATATATATATATGTAAATAAAGATGTAAGTACAGAAAAAAAAGACATAAAGACACCAAAATGTTAACAAGGGTTGTATATTGATGGTAGGGTGATTTTTGCTTTCTTCTTTACACTTTTACTATGTTTGCCAAATTTTCCCCAACAGACATGAATTAAATGTAAAATTAAAATTATTTTTTTGAAAGGAATAATTCCTTGACTCAGTATTTCTTTACTCTGAGGGATCAAATCAGAGATGCTGATAAAGATTATGTGCAAAGCTGTTCTGGTAGCATTACATAGAACAGCAAAAGTAGGTAAAACACTTAGTATGTACAGAGAAGAGAATCAGTTATGCCCATCAACACTCTGAAATATATCTGGCAGTTTGCAAAAGTGATGCTGTGTAAGAATGTTTAATAATATTAAAAATGCTCACAGACAGTAAAGAAACAAGCAGGAACTACAACATGCCCTGAAAAATGCCCTTTTGGGTAAAAGGTTTCTACTTTATGAGGAGTCCTATCTGGTATCTCTCCTTCAGTCTCCGCCACGTCTCCTCAAATTGGTCAAGACCAGCTAGGACCTGCAGGTGCTCCTGAGTGTGGTGGAGCTTGGGAAGGCCTCTAGTTGGGTCCACTGGATTTTGGGAGCTTAACTCCTGACCCAAGTCAGTTCTCCCTATAGTCTTGCGGTTTGCTAGTTTAGTCTGATGTTAATCATATG